CACCCAGCACCAGAAGTACACCTGCACCTTCTGCGGCAAGGTAAGCGTTCGGCTTTTATATTCTGATGATCTGATGATCATAAATCCAAAATCGAACCCTAATTCTAACAACAACAATCTCTCTTTCACTCTTTGCTCTTCAGGAGTCGATGAAGCGCACCTGCGTCGGCATCTGGTCCTGCAAGGCCTGCAAGAAGACGGTGGCCGGCGGCGCCTACGTCTTTGCCACCAACTCTGCAGCTGTCCTGACTACTGCCACTGACCAACCGACCACCTCTTCAATTTTCTCCTCATCTTCCTCATCATCATCATCATCACTCCTCAAATTGGAGGAGCATCGTGGGAGCTCATCTAAGAGCGCTCTCTCCACTGCAGTAATGCGCAGATCGGAGATTCAAGCGCTTAATGTAAGTCNCAAAACAAACAAATTGATGTGTACTGAATCATTCAATTTGCTGGTTCCCTTGGCCGACGACAGGTGTCGCCAGCGGTGATGAGCAGCATCAATTTTGAGTCCGCGGAGGATCCTCAAATCAATTTCGAATTTTTCAAGTGTGCTAATTGCAAGGAATTTGAGTGCTAAATGTGTGTGGTTGTGTCTGCAAGTGTTGTCACCAGAATGTCTGTCCGGGACAAGCCAAAATTTCTCATTCCCAAATTCTCTCAAATGAGGTCGTTTTGGTCAAGCAAAATTCTCTCTCGCTCATCTGCCGTCTCACTTCAATGTAAATGTAAATGTCAATCTTTCCTTTGAAATGGTGAACATCCTTTGAAGTTAAAGATTTTTGCCAAGGAATTTCCTAGATGGTCAGCAGCAGCGTCCTACTTGCAAGCACGCAACTTCTACTTGCACACACTTTAGAAGGGAATCTTTCAAGACGACCACTGCTCTGTCTCATCAAGAAAGTTGTGCTCAAGGAATTTGACCGCCGCCGTCTCCGTCTCCTTCGAATTAAATTGCTGGAGCGAGCTAAATTATTCGCCACTTATTATTTATTTCTTCGTTTGTCACCACTGAAGCAACCACCACCACCGCAGCACAGCTGCTTTGCCTCTAAAAATAACTGCCCAAATCAGCAGAAAGGAAAGCTGGCTTGCTTGAACGCCTCTCTCTCTCTCTCTCTCACTTTTGGACACTGGCTGTTTCTATTTCGCTTTCTGAATCGATTGCCATTGTTGTCCTCTTCTCCTCTTCCCTCCTCAATTCTCAATTCCTCCTCAATTCCTCATCCAATTCCTCCTTCTTCTTCGTCCTCTCTGAGAGATAAGGAAATGCTTTGAGCTGAACTAAGCTGAACTGAAGAATATTTAATTCTCAATGCTCAACTCGGAACAACTTGACAAACAGTGACTGACAAACACACTCAACTCTTTCATCATCAGCTTTCAAGCTTTCTACTCTATCTGCAATTTCTATTTTCGGACTTAGCTGGAGTTGGACTCTAATACTTTAGAATAACAGACCGACAGGCATCAGTCAAACTCTTTTCTCTGTCTGTTTATCTTTCAACTTTACCGAACAGAACCCTACCGAAGCAATCTAATCTCTTGTTCGCCACAACCACCACAAAACCGCAACAACTCTTCAAACATTCAAATGAAAAACATCTCAGTCGCTCTGGTCCCTCCATTGATCTTTGGTGCAATAACAAACAGCTTATCACCCCTTCCTCCTTCTCCTCCTCCTCCTCTTCAGTCACGTGAGTAGAACCCTTTTTCGTTTTATTAATTTTTAATTGCCATGTTTTTACATGGTGTGGGCCCTAGTCTAGTTAGCCTTAGCCCTGGTTGCGACACGTGTTTGAAAATTAGCGCTCGCCTCTGCGATCATTAATTTTCATTCATCTTTTTCATCATTTCTCCGCGACTGATTTGAATAATATGAGCCAGTGAATGAATGAGTAATTCCTCCTCACTGTGTTTGTCGGCGCTATTATAATTTGCCCCTTTAGGGTTTATGTTCAGTTTGGCCCAGTGATTCTTGCGGCTAGCTGCAGAATATTCAAACACAACTCTCTCTCTCTCTCTCTCTCTCTGCTTTTAATTAGTTTGCTCAGCAGTTGAAACTGCTCACTCACGTGAAAGTTGTGTGTTTTTTAGTCTCTTCGTAAGTTGTCTGTTTGAGCTGTGTGTTCTTGTTAGTCCTCTTCTCTTTCTCTTTCTATTTCTCTCTCATAGGATCCAATTTGTCTGCCAATTCCCAGTCTGCCACGTGCCAGGGACTAGTGAAGGAACTGA